AAAAACGACCTAAACCAAATTTATTTTGGTAAACAACTGCTTAAATATATTGTATATTCATCGTTAAAAGTCAATTTTGTCGAACACTGTAGGTAATAGTTTACATATGCACAGACATTAAACTGTCTGTGATTGTTTTAAAGTTGTAACTGAATTACAAAAAAAATTTCCAATTATTGTCGGCTTTCAAATTTAATAGCTTTCTGCCACATGTTAGAGGGTCCGAATATTGCAGTTGCGCAAACTCCAACAACATATAGATTTAATTGACATTTTCACTGAGACAAATGCGCATTTTATGTACTTTCTGTTGTTTATATAATATAATTTAATATATACACATGTAGAGAGTTTGTGTAAAAGTTGCGCTGAATATGCCACAAGCCAACAACCAACAACACGATTAATATTTTGTATACAATTATGTAAATGCATACGTATATTCATACATACATATATAAAAAGATGTATGTGCATGTTATATACACAAAACATAATTTTAGTAATTTATTCAATCGATTTATATCTCACCATGTATGTGTATGTAAACCGCGTAATGCTTACTTTTGCACCGAATAAATTTTTAATTACTTTTTTATTTAACAAGTTGAGGCGACAATAACACATTCTGTCGTCGGTAAATAATTACTTTAGATATTTATGTCAATCACTCATTTAGCGGTATTTAACTCATTAATTATTCAGTGATGCGTTGGAAGTCTTTATTGTYAGCTGAAAAAAGAAGAAATATAATTGCGTTAGATTTAAAATAATATCGATTTTTGAATAATTTGAAAGGATGCTTATGGGCTATATTAAAYGACATTTGTGATCTCAATTATTTAGTTAAGTCGGCTTAAGTTAATGGAGGAAAAACTTYAATTATTGCTATTTGCGKYTGCAGCTTGTATATCAGCAAAATCTATAACTTATTCAGGAACGAGAATTCCACATGATTAGAAAAATTAWTAATTTCGGCTGCATCGAAGCTATAATATCCTTCACAAATACAACAGGTTTCTTACGAGAACGTGATTTCGATACTTCAATTTGTATGACAACAATTTCTTCGAAAATTACATGATTGCCTTAGTTAACGATCCATGAGAATTTTCGTGAAGATATCTCGTCAAATGTAAAGGTTTTCCATACAACCATTTCATTCCGATCGTTTAGTTTGTGCAGCTATATGCTATAATACTCCGAYATTGTCGGTGSCGACAAATAAGCACCTAATGGGGGAGGAAAGATCGTGTGCAAAAGTTCAAATCGATATCTTAAAAACTGAAGAACTAGTTTCTCGATATACTGACAGCTCGTCATCTTGATCATTTATACTACATATAGATACTTTATAGGGACCATGACATTGCTTTTTGTGTGTTAAATTACTTGTTGCTCTATSACATAAAAAATACTGGCTTTTACCTCCTTGGCTGAGCCTTATTAAGAAAAACGGCAAGCTTCTTTCATATTATACTGGTGTGGCTTCCTAGACAGAAGTCGTAGAAAACTTTACCTCAAATCAGTACGAACGATCAATTAAATAATGCGATAAATAAAGTTTGTGACTAATACTCAAATATTGCAACCATATATAATTCAATATAACTGAAATAAATATTCAAATTGAAAATAAGCTGCAATTAGAAAATTAKACAAAGTTGAAGCCTTAAAACAGTGACAGGAATAATATTAAGTAGCAGCCTTAAGCAAAAATAAAGTCAGTACTACCCCAAATTTATACACACAGCAAAAGTCCTTGCCTACATTCACACACACACAAATACCTGCAGAAATGTTTACACCATTAACCTAGAAAAGAATTCCAGTAACATTTTTGGCGCACCACTTAAAAGTTACCGCGTTAAATAGAGCATAACGGTGCAAGGTATGAATGGCTTAGAAAAATCAATACAACGTAAAACAAGAAAAGCAACGGTATAACAATGAAATTTGTTACAAAATTTCAAAAACATTCRGAGCGAATATTCTGTGAAGGTTCGCTTGTGGGCTTGTGTGTGGCCGGAGCGGATGAGGTAATGCTTTGGGTAATATGGCGCACAAAAGTTGAACAGCCGTTTATTCTGCCGGCAGCGCAAAGAGTTTATCGGCGTTCGTAGCGAAGCAGCGAAAGCATAGTTGAAAATTTCGATTTGGCGCAAAAGGTAYAATAAGGATTATTAAGTATGTTGGAACGCACGCAGTGGACGGCKGCTGATAAGTTGAAGCGCGAAAAAGTGTCGAGAATGAAAGCAAAAGTAAAACATTAAGCGCACGCCAACTCATGGTCATAGCAAGCATAAAAGAACTCACGCAAAAGCTACTTTAGATGCGTGAACAAAGCATGCGTTAAATGGACAGTTGCACACAAAACTAGAACAGTTAATGAACGCTACTTAAGAGTTAAGGTGCCAAAGCGTGGATGAACAAACTTTGTATTTCTATACAATGAGACACGCCCCCTAAGATCTGTGGTACTTTCTTAAAGAAGAAGTTGATTTAAAGTGGAGAAACGCAGGATGGAATCCGTATCTCTCGATTCCATCGAAGTGCGGTGCCAAATGTTCCCCSTCAGACTAAATTATAAATGTATTTCTACATATTATATACATAAAAACTTAAGTGCATAAGTTTCTGGTTGGCCACTTGGCAGGTTAAAATCTACTGTCTCAAAGTTCGCAAAAAGCGTTGGCATCTGTATGCGTAATACTTCAGCTCAAATTAAACAGAACCTTCAACTCGCTTTGCAAAGAATCAGTCGTCCTATGTACGGCCTGTTATATATAACCAAATCTAACCTAGAAACCTTACGCATACTTTTCCGACCCACCGTATCGTTATAAGTACGCTAAACGCCACTATCCTTCACGCACTCGTTCGTTGCGTTGACGGCATGATTCTCGCTTTTTCAACTTCCGGCTAGTTTTTTCAGCCGCTAAACGGAAATGCGATTCCCATCGGGCGACCAYGGCACAGCCGCACAAGCCGCGAAACAATTTTTTAGTCAAGCTATTTACAGTGCGGGAATGTGTCCTTTTCAACGCACCGGCAGTTAGTCAAAACACATTGCTCCGTATTTAGGTTGTGTTTTGATTGAATACCTGTCCACCTCCACGCGGTCTCGCCAGTGTGGCTCTGGCCTTATTTTGCCATTTACATATTTTCTACATTTTGATTTGTTGGTTGCTGGTTTTTATTCGCTTTCTTGCCAGTTGCAGTTTTATTTTTTCCTTTAACTGCGAAACAAGTACTTTTGGGTAGTGCCATTAATGTGCTCATTATGTTCGCTGTGCGCTGATTAAATGAGCCAAAAATAATTGAAATAAAAAGCGAGAATTTATGCGTGCACATAAATTTGTGKCTGCCTCCGCGTCTCGTTGCAGGCACATAAAATACTGCCGTCGTCTTAGAGCGGCCAATCAGCATTTTAAATGCCCATGTTGAAATTTGTTAGAGCACTTGACTTCTGATGTATATTTTTTTACTTGCTTTTCAAGTCATAGTAGGTGTGTGGGAGWAGTAGGTGAACTGGAGACAGTCACGGTTTCACGGATTATACTTGCAAATTAAGCCTCAGAGCTGAAGTGTTAAATGAGCCACTTACACTAGGACCACAACAAAACAGTTTGATGTCCATTGGCTGTCGAAGCCGTTCTCAAATGTTTTCTGGAATCTAACTTCCACTCGAGAAAATAAATATCATAAAATCTTGGAGTCTTAGTACCTAAGGTCAAAATGTTCCCGAAATAGATAGTTTGTAAAAATGTTAGTTTTTGAAGTAACTGTTCGCTATAAGCTCAGGTTTCTTCGGACTCCTGAAACCCATATAACTTGGATAGATTAGAACAATTTAGGAGGTAAAGAAGCCGAAATTGTATAATACATCATGATCCAAACCCAATCTATATGGATTTCAACAGTCAGCAGAAACCTCATTATAGTGCTCTTAGCTAGGAACTAGTTTGAAATTCGAAGATCGATCCATTTTTCAAAGCACTTTTCGACTTTAAGTCTTTCACAGTACATAAGTTTATCTGTTCCAAGTTAGCGTATTGTGAGATCTACTTAGCTACTTAAATCTAAATTGCAAAGCCTGTAGCATCCACTTTTTTATAATCAAAAGAACTCAAACCCCTAACAAGTTCTAGAGTTTTCGTCCCAAAAATTTAATACAAAAGGCTCCCRTGCTGCTTCATCTAAAATATGCCTAAGTCTCTATGATTAACCGACTCATATTCTGGTTATRAGCACAGTGACGAGTACTGGCTAAAGCCCACCGAGATGTAACGTCAACGGTATTACCCACGTCAACAACAATAGTAATCATCGCACTCATGTCAATGCACCKATCGCTTTGGGCAACAAACTCATCAATTCATCAACCAGCTAACTGACCAAAAAGCCAATAAGCCACAGGCATTGTCATTGTCAACGCCATGGACATCAGCAGCGCCCACAGAAATAGTGGAGCACCGCAACGGCTAATGACTTTATCACCCATTRCCATAGTTACGTTCAATTAAGTTAAATAAGCGCTAATGCTACCAGAGCAGCGGCTGCATTTGAGTGATAGTCGGATGCACGAGCTCGAGCAAAGATGTTATAATCAGAGCTTTGCGGATGCGTTATGAGCATTAGGTATATCTGTGCAGCCGACTGTCGACTGCCGTTGCAATTGTTTGTGCGTTAATTGTTGTCACGMGCACGA